CTAACTACTCGTACTACAGTACTTCTTAACTAACTATAAATTAACGTAACGTAGTTGGTTCGTTCCTTTCCGTTAACTAGTCGACGACACACTAACTAACCTACCCTCCTCCTCTCTCTCTCTCTCTCTCTCTCGCTCATCATACGCATGCCAACAACAAAATTCCATGAAAGGAAGCATCGGAAAGAGCTCCACTTAGAAGATCCACTCGTCCTTCAACCATGGCCTTGCATATCAAGCATCTCATTCAGTTCCTTCAACCTCTGTAAACCTTCACTGATCAAAAACCGAACTTTCTGCTTATCATTGCAATGCCTGTTCTTTTCAATCTCTTGCCTCATTGTTTGGTCCAGCTCGGCTGCAAACATTTTACTTCACAATTTAGACAATTGGCCTCTTAGCAATTGGAACTCAAACCAATCCAAAATGCTTTGGCAATAATACTGCATATTCTACCTCTAGCATGAGCCGGTGCTCGACGAGCACTCCTTAGTGCACTTCTGTAGAGCTTTAAGACACGAGCACGAACAATGAATGCCTGCAAGTCTAAGGGGAGAACCATACTAATGGACTCTCTACCCTAGACAATATGTATTGTGAGTTCATCACAGCCTAGTGAAAAGGGAAAAACTGGGAGAAAAAAACACCTCCACAGTTCAGAACTGTCCATGAAATATATTTTCATGGTTTTGTGAGATTTAAGTAGTGAAGAAAAGATTTTGCATAGGGAAATTCAGGGCCAAACTTTGTTTTTCTTTTTGTTCTTTTCGAACTCGAACCAAAAACCACTAGACAAAAGATGAACATGGATGCTTTTCATCCCAATATATTTCAGAAATAGCTTTCGGAGTGCCAAAGTACTGGCATCCTGAACCAAAGCAATCGCTGCAGAGAAAACTCTCAAATTGTCACACCAAAGAAACAAACTTATAGAGCAGTGTTTTGTTATATCCTATCAAAGAAATCAATGTCTTCTTCATGTAAAACCTTTTGCAAACAATCTAGCATTGCATTTGTCAACCCTTCCATTGAGTATTCACTTCCTTTAGAATCCAAATCGTCATGAATTACTTGCCTTTATTGATCTGATGTCATTTCCATTAATCTCACTCAGGCAACTTTATGTCCCCAAAAAGAATTCAGTTCATTATACTGTCGAATGAGATATACAAAGATTAGTTCCAAATTTCTTTATGTGGATGCTTAGATTTATTCATTTTACGGACTTCCTGCCATCAATTTCTAGAAACTGAGTGTATATTCTTTATCAAGGAGGAAAAATAAACCTGACCGCAACTACTTTTAATTATCCACAACCAGCTGAAGTCTGAATATCAAATTTCTACAGACTTAATCATCCTTTCAACAGTTCAGAAATTTCTACAAATGGAAAAAAAATCTTTAAATATGCAAATGATTTGAAATCACCTCCAACTTAACGTGGCTAACCTAAGTCCAGAAATGGAATTTTATTCAACACATAAATGGTCAAAACTGAAAATCCTTGCTCACCCTAACCTTAATCGCTAACCACATACATGTCCATGACAAACATCTCAAAATTTCAATCAATGTTCTTTAAATAAGCCAAACTAAATATTGCTGTAGAATATGACACTTAATGGTAAGGTGAACAATTTCAACATTACCAAACTAGATTTCCAAGAAAATAAGGAAAACCTATAAATCTCCCTCTCTATGAATCAAAATGCCACAAAACTTTAAGAGACAGCTGTTGTAATTAATGGTCAAATTATTTCATATCCACATATTTTCAAGCCTCACAGTAACCCACATGTGAGATGCACACATGCTTTATGACAAGGTTCGCCTGAAAAACATTTGCAAGTCCTTTTCAAAAGGAATCAGTTCTTTGTGACCAGAGATCCAATGTCCATGAAACTTTATTAAGGGGATCCAATGTCCAACAAAAGTATATATGTGAAAATCATCCTTGTCTTTCTAATGAAAAATCCAGATGTCATCAAAGTTTAGCCGAAGCTATTAAGGATTTAAGCGATCTAATGATGATGGTTTTCAAATCTTACCCAGTTGCTTGTGCAAGCGAATTAGCAGATGCACAAGGCTAGTCCCCCCAAATCCTAGTGTTAAGGTATTCTTCAAATATAATGTCAGATAGGGTTCGGATTAATTTCAATATGCTTGGGATAACAAGTACAACAAGAGTAGCAACAATCCAAAATAGATGGCCGGATGGCCTCACATAGGTAAACAGTGCTTACAACACAATCACGAGAATAAAGATATCCTGAGGTTTGATCTGCCCGTTAAACGTGCAACCATAGATCAGCAAACAAAAAAAGAAAAAAATCTTTACATTGAACGTTAAATGTGGATGGAATATAAGTTTTCATCTGCATATTTAATTTGCAAACACAGAGTTGCAAACATGTTTTCTCTCTTTTTGTTTATATTGCATATTTTAACACCAATAACATTTAGAAGGACATATTAAGATGCTACGATCATAATTATCGGGATCACCCCTATAGGACATAAGTTCTGGCTCTTGAATCCAGCTCTCGCGCTCCAAACCAGGGATCTCAATCAGACCCCCTTTTTTTGGGGGAGCTTGATCCTTTTCCCAGAAATCTTGACCCCTTATTCATAGGGATCTGGATACCCCTAATTCGGGAGCACAATCCCTCTATTTGTGAATTTTGATCCCTATATTTGTGGATCTCGATCCTGTCACGTAGAGATCGCGAACTTTTTGTAATGTGGATCTTGAATAAACTATTCATGGCAGTGTTTCAAAAAACGCAAGGCAGGACCAAGGCAGTCGGGAGGGTCAAGGCCGCTCAGCGCCTAGGCGGACGCCCAGAACCCGAGCGGCTTAGTAGAATTTTTTTTTTTTCTCTCTCAAAAATAGGCTCTATTGGGTTTTAGGTTTCAAATGAACCTAAAACCCACAATTTTTCACTTTTAGTATTAAAAAAATGACCTAAAAATACCCTCAATGAGGGGCATTTCCGCCTCTGGGCGGCCACTCGCCTAGGCGGGTTCCCGGGCACCCAGGGATATCTACTTTTTTTGGGCGCCTAGGTCTGGGCGATGCGCCTAGGCCCCCAGAAACGCCTAGGTGGCCGCCCAAGCACTGCGGTCCGCTTTTTTGAAACACTGATTCATGGGATCTCAAACTTCGTATGTAAGGGATCACCATCACATATGGAGTGCATATTGATCCTAAGAGAAATTGGAGCAAGTTTCTCATGTCGACACACAACTGTGGTATCGAATACTCATTGGGTGCACTAGAGGATGCAATACATGGCAAAATTGTTGAAAATTTGACATAAATTCAAGCTACAACTCACTCCAGCAATGGAGAACTGAGAATTATTCATGATGATGCTCACACAATTTATAACATGCAAGTGTCGAGAAGTGAAATGAAGATGCTTCTAGAGAAACATACTATATCCTTGATCCCATCAAAAAACAGACTACTTGGAAAAACTTTTTACATAAAAAATTCAAATATTCTCTTTTGAATAATATGAGTATTTCAAAGATGAAAAAAAGAGTGGATTTTGAATTGTTAAAAGCTGATGGAGCTAGGCACGAGGTAACATAAAATGACATGTTCTCATTATTATTCATTGTAGCATTAGAACTATATGCAGAACCTTATACTGTTTCAATAGCTTTTCTTCATGTTGAAACCAATGAAGTGATAACAGAGGTGAAGGACCTTTCAAAAAAGCTCAATCTGTAAGGGTTGTGGGGCCCGATGACTCTTTACTTTCACATAGGAAAATAGTATTTTTTTGGTATTGTTATTTTTACTGTTTATTTCGGCCTTTGGTAGAAGCACCTTTCCTTACGTAATCCATTTTACTATATTGGTACACCAGAGGCATCATTAGTCTGTGACATATGATAAACAGTAGAGAGACATTGATGGTTTCTTTTGGAAATCAGTGGAGGTTATCTAGGTGTTGTACACTCACTCATTCCTCTTCTAGAGTGGTTGCCAGGAGGGCTGGCACAGGTGGAGGGGGTATCATCATTATCAATGACGAGAGTGAAAGAGACAAAGATTCTAGCCAGTTGTTTTCCATGTCCGCAGGTGAGGAATTTTCCACTGGATGTGGTTTGTCTTTTGTTTTCCATGAAGATTGTTCGTTGGAACATTTGGGGCTTGGGAGATGCTCGGAGAAAGCCGTTTTGTGGGATCCTTCTCTTTTGAATAGCCTTTGTCATGTATTGAGGGATAGATCTTGGTTTATTGTCTATGAAAGTCCTTTGCCTAATTTTAAGTGGCTCTTGGTGAATATTTATGGCGCTATAATGGCAGATCAGGAAAAGGCAATTTTTGGAATCTCTAATGTTGTTTCGTATTTGCAATGACAAATTTGCTTATTACATTATTTCCATGTTAAAATCCTAGTTTTTTAATAAATTATAAATATTAACACAAGGTGTTGTGGCCACCAGAATGGTTTCCAAAGGTCAAAAAGAAAGAGGTGCATAGTTTGTTATAATGTCAGTTATGCTCATCATTTTATAAACTAACAACAATTATTTTTCAATTTTAAAGGAATTAATGAACATTAAGTTATTACAACATTAGTTTTTCAAATTGTAATAATTATTTTTCTTTGGTTTTTACTCTTATTGTATGTTCTTCATTTCGAGTTCTATTCCTTGTCTTGCCACTCATCCATCTTAAAATCATCATCTCCACTACACTTATTCTATGATGAGCATATTGTTTTTTGACTGCCCAACATTCCGCCCCATAGAGAAAACCGTTGTCTTATAGAACTTGCCCTTCAGCTTCATTGGTATGCGACGATCACATAAAATTTCGATTGTGCATCTCCACTTCGCCCACCCAGCTCTAATTCTATATACGAAATCCTCCCCAATCTCTCTATTTTCCTAGATTATCGATCCAAGATATCGAAAGTGCGTTATTTTTTGTATTTCCTAACCGTCAATCTTAGCTACTTCCTCGTCTCTACTCCTATTATTACTTAATTTGTATTCCATATACTCTGTCTTAGACCGGCTAATTTTCAAACCTTTAGAGTCTAGAGCATCCCTCCAAAGTTCTAACTTTGTGTTGACGTGGTTTCGGGCCTTATCAATCAAAACTATGTCATCTGCGAACAACATGCACCACGGTACCTCATCTTTTAAGTGCCTAGTTAAGTCGTCCATAACTAAGACAAAGAGGTATGGGCTCAATATCGATCCCTAATGTTGACATACAATCACTGAAAACTCACTCGTATCTCCACTAATTGTTCATATGCTAGTTAGTGCTTTATCATACATATCTCTCACCAAGTCGATGTAGTGGCTAGAGATTTCTTTTTCAACCCCCACCAAATCAAATTTCAAGGTACTCTATCATAAGTTTTATCTAGATCAATAAAGACCATGTAGAGGTATTTTCCCTTCGCCCTAAACATCTACATGACAGGGATCAAGATCCACGAATAGAGGGATCGAGCTCCTTGATTAGGGGGATCCAGATCCCCACAAATAAGGGACCGAGATTCCTAGAAAAAGGATCGCGCTCCCCATAAAAAAAGGGCCTCCGAATGAGATAAGTGTTGGATTCGGGAGCCGGAACTAACCCACACAGATATTCACATCACATGCAACTATAAAAGTATACTTTGGGCAGAAAAAAGTAGTCATTATAGTGAATAAAGAGTATCATAATGTCTAAATAGTGGATGCTGCCAACGATGTGCAGCATAAGATGGCTAAATTATAAAATTAGCAACCCAATTAGTCACATGATACTAAACTGGCATTTTCTCATCCAATGTTCAAAGTAAATTGCTCTCATCATCATAATATTTGCATATTAGTAGGCATTATAAGTTTATCACAGTAAAGGGGCAATTGGTTTGGATATGGAATTCCTTGTGAGGTTAAGTCCACCATCTCATTAAAAGATGTGATGAGTGATTTTCTCCACCATACACAACTCGTGAACAATCAGTGCAGATAAAGGCCTATCAAAAAGGGCAAAACTTCTCTTAAGCTTATCAAACAGTCTAGCAGAAAAACTGAACTGGTTCAACTCTTGCGAAGTTCAAGGTCCATAACAAAACCCCAAATTATCATGCCTTATTTATTCTTTCTTTATATCACCAGATAAATGATTTCCTAAACAATATCAAGCAATTGCATGTGTTTGATGGCTCTGCCATTTTCAAAACTCTTTAACACAACCGATTTCTTTCTATTCTTTGAAAAACATATAGCTCTAGGCCATTTCTTTCCAGCCATTGGAGACACATCTAACTTAGTATGGAATCAAGGCACACAACCAATAGTTTATTTACAAAGCCTTGAGTGTCAATGCATTTTATGTCTGCAAACAACTAACTATTAACTCAATTACATAGCTAAACCTCTTCTATAATGAGGAAATAGAATAAAACAAGATGGGTTTTCTAGAATTAAGTAAAAAATCAGGCAACTTGGCATGATTTTCCTTAATTTTCCATGATTGTATTTCGAAAGGCATAGCATAAATAAGTAAATAACTGGTTTTTAGCAGAACACTCTGCACTTTTTTCCGGCAAAATAAATCCCAATATGCCAAAAAAAATTAGAAAATTAAAAATTCATTTACAGTTCTTGATTTAAATCCACTCCAAAAAAGTTCCTACTTTCTTTCTTCTATCTTCTAATTTTCTCTTCTTCTGTTTTGTGGGTGACATGTACATCTAGAAATCCAAATCACAAATAACATATACCAAACAACAACTCACTGATCATTTCTCTCCCCAGCTTTTTCTCCCTCAACTAAACAAATCATGAAATTTCTCTCTAGTAAATGTATCATGAAATCAAAAATAAGAAATTTGATTTTCCATATAAGAGAGAAAAGCAGATATCAAAATTTTACCTGGTGATAAAAATAACCTAAAATGGTCCCTGGGTCCCTCCCTTGAGCTGTAACTTTTCGAGCACGGTTGCGAGAAGTTGGAAGCTAAAGAGAAAAAAGAGAAGTCCTTGGGTCTAGAGAGAGAAACAGGGTTGGGGCACAATTTCCTTTGATACCCGTGGAGAAGACACGAAATTACTGGAATGGTTCTCTTCTTTTCTTCAAGGGACACAAATACCCCTGGGTCAACGCCGGCGGCTGAAAATTGGACAAAAAATGCCCTCAATACAGAAATTAATTGCAATTCTACATCTGCAGTTGAAAAACGGGGAGGTTTATCTTTCTAGGTCCTACTGCCTACTCTCTTTCTCCCTCTCCCCATGAATTATCATCCTTGAATGTTAAGGTGCCGTTTGGATGCCTCGAGAGCCAAAAGTACTTGTGTTCCGAAGGCATCAACTCTCAGATAATCGAACCCAGTAGTCTTCCGAAGGCGTCAACTCCGAGATGCTCAAGACCCATTAAAAGGATAATATCTAATATATCATTGAACTAGCATAGTTTGCAAGGCTATAAATTGCACACCCACTACATGACTAGATCTTCTATATTCGAGTCTTATATTCCCAGTTGCAGTTTCGCCTAGTCTTGAAATAAGAGTTTTGTGCATAGAATTATAGTCTAATACTCTTTCATTAATGTTAGGTTAGCAGTCGGTATAAAACTTTTGTCCCGTCTATTTATTATATTTTATGATAACTCTTTTATACAAGTTCAAAAACTACTTTAAGAGAAGTGTTTCTAAGCTACTTGTGAGACCAGAAGGCATAATTGGCTCCATCACTAACAAGTATTCTGATATACCTCCCAAAAGAGATTTATAGTAATCAATTCCTTTCCAAAATGAAGATGCATTGCAACGGGAATTGAAACTTTTGATCAACAAACCATAACTCTCCACACGATTTTTGGTTTGCAACAATTGCTTCTGATGTTGCGGTGATATTGAAACACATGCCAACACCACTTGTTATTAAGGCTTTATTGTTTATTCATATGCTTGAGCCTTCTTCTTTTTTTGGGTAAGTATATGCTTGAGCCTTCCAATAATAAGACTACCTTGTTGCTTAGGTGCACAAAACTAAATTTCAATGTACTAGGCGGTACCAATTTTTGTCTGTTATGAATTGGTAAATTGTATGTATGTTTCAATTGAGTATTACAACATGATATATATAACTTGATCACAACCAACTCCAAGATTGTAAGGATCTTAATTTTGGAATGTGCAACAAACTATCCAAATCACTATCCAAAACTATAGGAGATACAACATGTGATACCAATCTCAATCTACAACTATATAGAAAATACAACATGTGATATCAATCCCAATCCACAGTTACGATATCACAATCCCAATCGCCCAATACTCCCCCTCAAGTTGCACGTGAAGATCCGTAACGCCCAACTTGCTGTAAAGATATTGAAATTGCTCGCGAATTAATGCTTTGGTGAGAATGTCTGCGACTTGCTGCTTAGTAAATACGAGTGGTTTTGAGAATGCCTAGACGGATTTTTTCTCGGATGAGATCGTAATTGAGTTCGATATGGTTAGTTCGTTTGTGAACCACAAGTTGGAATCAATATGGAGAGCAGCATGGTTGTCACAATATAGGCACATTGGATGAGGGTGAGGTACACCAAGGTCCTGAAGTAAGGCTTTGACCTACACGAGTTCACATGTAGCTACAGCCATAGCACGATCCTCAACTTCAGCCGAAGGTCGTGATATTGTTGGTTAATTCTAAGTCTTCCATGAAATTGGACAAGTACCAAGGGAAGAAAATAACCAGTAGTCGATCTCCGGGTCATGGGGCAGGTGCCCCAGTTGGAATCACAGTGAGCTATTAATTGGAACGATGAATTGGATGGTAAAAGGAGTCAAAATGAAGGTGTTCCTTTGAGATATCTAAGTACACAAAGAGCAGCCATGTAATGAGGTTGACGAGGACAATGCCTAAGTTGGCTAAGGATATGGACCGGATATAATATATCAGGCCTTGTGATGGTGAGATAAATTAGTTGTCCCACTAGACATCGATACCGAAGGAGATCACCATCTGTGGCAGTAAGCTGAAGGTGTTAGTCCATGGGAAAAGCAACGGGTTTTGCACATGTGAGTTCAGCTTTGACCAAAATATCAAGAACATATTTTCTTTGATCAATAAATATTCCTCTTTGGAAACGGGCGACTTCTATGCCCAAAATTTTTTTCAAACCTTCTAAATCCGTGATATGGAATTTGGAGTGAAGAAACCCTTTGAACAACAAAATGAATCTGCTATTGTTACCAGTGACGATAATATAATCAACATGAACCAGAAGAACAATGAAAGTCTTTTCAGCAGTTAAGGTGAATAGTGAATAATCCGCAACGTATTGAATAAAGCCAATAGATTACAAAATAGAAGAAAATTTATCAAACCATTGCCGAGAGGCTTGCTTGAGCCCATATAAAGATTTGTTAAGTCGACAAACTCGAGTCTCCCCCTGTCGAGCAAACCCGTTGAAATTTGCATGTAAACCTCCTCATGCAAGTGCCATACAAAAGAGCATTGTGTACATCAAGCTGATAGAGGGATCATCCTCTGATGGATGCCAGAGTAAGTACACACCACACAATGACCAACTTTGCTACTACTGCAAATGTCTCATGATAGTCAAGCCTTTCGACTTGTGTATATCCTTTGGCTACAAGGCAAGCTTTGTATCGTTCAATGGTTCCATCGGCCTTCTATTTAATTTTATATATCCACTTGCATCCAATGGGCTTCTCACCATGAGGCAGGGGCTGCAATGTCCAAGTACTGTTTGTTGTAATGTATCAATTTCAACTTCTATTGTTGTTTTCCAATGGGAGAACTTAACCACCTGGGCAAAGGACCTGGGTTCTTCCTGAGAAGATATAGCTTGAAGAAAAGCAAAATGTAGTGGTGCGAATTTAGCGTAAGAAACAAAGTTGGAAAGAGGGTAACGAGTACCTGCTGAAGAGCCTTGTGTCGTGGGTGAAGTTGTCGAAACTTCTGGATGGACCATAGAGCAAACAAAATCCTTATACCGTGTCGGCATGTTATGAACACGTGTGGGTCATCTAGGTTCATTCAATGATGGTTCCTATTGGGGTTCTAGTGCAGGTACATGAGGAGATGTGATAGGAGCCGAATTAGGATCAGAATCAAGTTCAAAGTTAAAAAGTACCATTGTCTGCTATGGATAGAGGTAATATTGTGGTTGCTTCAGGCTCTTGTTATGATGATTCACGAAAAGGGAATATGTCCTCTTCAAAAGACACATCTCTTGATGTGAATATTTTGTGGGTTTCAAGATCAAGAATGCAGTACCCACGTTGTGCAAAAGGATATCCTATGAAAACACAACGAGATGCTCTGTGAGCAAATTTGTGTCTATCAAGTACATGATCGTGGGCATAACAAAGACAACCAAATAACTATAACTGAGTATAGGATGGCTTGGAACTAAGAAGGACGTCGTGAGGGGTCCGACTAGACAATATAAGTGTAGGCAAGATTTTTATAAGATATGTGGCAGTGAGCCCACATTCTCCCCAAAATTGTAACAGTAAGTTGGCTTGGAAGCACAAGGCACAGGATACTTCCAACAAGTGACGGTGCTTACGTTCATCCACCCCATTTTGTTGAGGGGCGTCGACACAAGTTCGTTGATGATGGATGCCTTGCATTTGAAAAAACAAAAATTGCATATCTAGAGACAAGAACTCAGTCCCATTGTCAGTTCGAATTGGTTGAACCTGACGTTGGAACTGAGTTTTACCATGGCACAAAAGGTTTTTAAAAAATGTGTCGTTTCGGACTTATAACACATCAAATAAACCCATGTGTAACATGAATGCTTATCGATAATAGTAAGAAAGTAGTGTGCCCCTGCAAAAGATGCGGTTTTATAACCCCCTCCCCTTCCCCTCCGAGATATCACAATACATCAATTTAAATGGTTTGTGACATCTATTGGTATTAATGGAAAAAGGCAACCTTGTCTATTTTGTCAAATGGCACACTTCACAATTTTTTAAACAAGAATGTAAATTAGCAAAATCATGAGAATAATGAGAACGTCACTGCATAGATGGTGACCTAATCAATGGTGCCATAGGATTGGGTTTTCTTTCGAACAGTTGACAAGGCTGATGGTAAAGTCATCACGAACTTCACCCACTCCAATCAGCTTCTTCATGGCAGGGTCTTGAAATACACAGAAGGTTGGGAAAAAAATAGCAGCACAATTCATCGATTTGGTCAATTTGCTAATGGAAAATAAGTTAAATTAAATGATGGAACACATAAAACATCAAATAATCTCAAGCAAGAATTTAGGTAAATAGTTCCTTTGTGTGTGATGGGTTATATGTGTCCAGTTAGCAATTTCACAGGTGACAGGGTTGATACTATAGTGGTGTCAAGAAGGTAAGAGAGTTGTGTGTTGGTGTTAAGAAGGGAAAAGAGTTGAGGCGTCATGTGATCAGATGCCCCACTGTCAATAATCCAAGTATCAGATGGTAATGTAGAATTTGCATGACAAGAGATAGTACCTACAAGGTTGGCAAAGGTGGAAGAATAATCAACTAAAAGTAGGCTCAATAGTTGTCTATATTGTTTTGCTGTAATTCCCTGGAAAGGAGAAGAAGTTGTTGTGGCAACACTAGGCACCGCACTAGATGCATCAACATGGACTTGTGTGGCTCGTGACCCATTATAAGTACCCGCTCCTTGCCTTTGCATGAATCGTTTCTGCTTGTTCCAATTCAGTGGATATCCGATAATTTCAAAACAACGTGCCTTATTGTGGCCAATCACTCCACAACGTTCACATTTTTCTTTGCTCTTAGCTTTGGCTCCTCTTGCATCTCGAGAACTTGAGGGGTGGCCAACTGCAAGAGCCACCGCATCTAGGGTGTTCGATGTCATTTGCAAAAGCCTCCTCTTCTCTTCTTGATTAAGGATAGAGTAGGCTTTACCAACAGTTGGCAATGGTTCCATAACAAGAATTTGGCTTCGGAGCCTTAAATGAC